CCCTCCGCCGCGGGGGTCCCCTCGGCGCTGGGCAGCGCGCCCGGCTCGATGGAGGGGCGGCTCGCCGCGGGCCTGGCCGGCTCCGCGCGCCCCGTAACCCCGCGCCGCTTTGCTGGGTTTCCTCGTGCTTTTGGTAAAATGGCCTCCCCGCCGCCGCGGTGACAAAGGGGCGAGCCCCCTGCTCGGGTACGGCGTGCCCGGCCAGCCGCCGGGGCCCGGCGGGGCGCGGCCGGAGCCGCCTCCTTAGTGCGGGGCTCCGGGGACGGGCGGCCCGGTTCCGCCACAGCCCGGTGCTGCCCAGCCCGGTGCTACCGGAGCCCAATTCCACCACAGCCCGGTGCTATCGGAGCCCGGTTCCGCCGCAGCCCGGCGCTGTGGGAGCGCGGTTTCACCGCAGCCCGGTTCCGCCGCAGCCCGGCGCTGTGGGAGCGCAGGTGCCGGCCGGGATGCGCTGAGGGCTCCGGGGCTGGCCTGAGGGAGGGAAGAGAGGGCGAGCCGCGGAGCAGGATCCGAGCCGGGCCCGGGCAGGGGGGTGGCGCTGCTGGAAGCCCCTGGCTGGGTCGGTGCTCCCGGGAGGGCTCCGAGCCCGCTCCGCTGTGCGGGGGATGCTCCGGGAGCTGCGGGAGTGGGAATGCGGCTGGGAGGGCTCCGGCAGCGGGTGAGCAGAAACACAAAATGCTGAGCTGTTTCAGCGTTTTCTGCTGTTGTATCTGCAGTGTCTGTGGTGTTGGATGCTCTCGTTAATGAGCGGGGCTTGCTCAGGGTGCTGGGTTTTGTGCGTTTGCTGCGTTGGGAGCAATGTTTGAGTGACCTTTTGCATAACACACAGAGGGTCATGGACACAGAGATTTGGTTTGTCACTGTCACATCAGCCTTAGCTTCCCCAGCCCTTGCAACATATTCGAGCTTTAGTTTCTGTTTGTGGAGAGCCGGCTTTCTAAAGTTCTCTGTGGGTATTTTTTCCACCATAATTGTTACTAGGAGTGCAGTTAAGGGCTGGAGAAGATACAAGGAGAGTGAGAGGCACTCACGCTGCCGCTTCTTTGTGAGTAATCCAAGAGAAACAACTGCCAACCACTGCCACGTTTTCATCTGTTGGTAAACATCAGCTGCCGCTTGGCCTTGAGGGAGGAAGACTGAATTAGTTCCAGATGGAGAACTCTTTCAGCCCATTTAGACTTTCCAGTTGATTGGAGCCAGCAGGTCAGTAATTTAGGGGAGTAATTTGGTTGTTATTTGCTGTTCTGCTGCCTGCCGTGTGGCCGCTCAGTGATATCAAATCTGATATCAAATCTGATATCACAGCGCTGCTGAGGGTGAGGCTTTGGTTGTGCTTAATTGGTCTTGGGTTTAATTAAGTTGTGTAAACAGAAAAGCTATTGAAAAAGCTGTGATAATTCACTGTTTTGAATGTAGAGGGATTTTTTTAATGACCTGGAAAAGGAGGAGGAGTCAAGAATCCATTTTTCTGAACAAATTGTCTTGGAGAACGTGTATCTTTCTTCAGAGTTTTGTGTTAAACTGGGTTAACCACCAGTTTGTGATTTAATGTGATCGTGTCAGAGGGTCCCATACCTCAGTGTGCTGCTGGCAGGAATTCCTGGAAAAATGGGAAGAGATAAGGGGGATGGAAATCTGCAGTGCATGGCTGTAGCAACTGGGGAGTGTGAGGAATGGAAAATTTCACTGTGGAGCAGCTGCTGTGTAGGGTCCCGAGACTGACACCAGGTACTGAACTCCTCAGTACCTCCTTGTGGTTTATTTGAAGACATTTAAAAAGCATTAAAAATAAAATCTTAAAGAAAATAGAGTGAACTGCTCACAAAATCAGGGCAGGTGCAGTAGCTCTTGTTGGAACTCTTGTATTTCTCTTTCTTTCACAGGGTGGTTTTGATGTTTGCTACTGTAACTTGCCAAATTTTGTGTAATTTGTAAAAGAAAAAGCTCTGGTTGCAAATAATTTAATGTCTTTTGCTGCCAAATCTGTTGTTAAGGCTTTAAGAATTAGTTGCAAGTGCTAATACTGGATTGGAAATTACAGCAAAATGAGGAATGTTGCATTACTCCCATGTAATTAAATAAATGTAAAAAATGGAAAGCTCTTGGACATATTTCCCTACTTTTTCACTTGGATACATTTACCAGGGTAGCTCTGGGATTACTGGGAGTTGCAGCCCTTGATTGTTGTTCTCTTTGACTCAGATTGATAACAGGTTAATTAGTCTGAAGGGCAGAGGTTCCTGCTTGGATTTGCTGGATTGGGAAGATTTTTCTGGGGAGTGTTTAAAGACAGAGGGAAAGGAAAGTCACTGTAGAATGTGGAAGAGGAGTTAGTTTTAATTGGAAAGGCTGTGTTGAGGTGCTCCAGAGGGAAAAGGACATGAAAACACAAAGTCTGGTGGGTGGGTGGGTGTTATTTTAGAATCAAAAACCTCCCTAAGATTAGTTCTTGTTGCTTAATCTTGGCATGAAGACAAGGAGTTCAAAATCCAGCCTGAGGGATTACAGAAGTCTCTTTATCTTTTCTAAAGTGCAGGTGAAATGTGCTATCTTTGCTGCATTAGGGATATAAAATCACACATCTTTTTTCCATTTTTCCCTTTTTTTTCCCCCTTAGGCAGAAATCATGGAGCAGCCCACATGAAGAATCCTGTGGAGTTTATATTCCTGCAAGATGTCCTCAGAAGGACCAAGCCCAGTTTTCCAGGCCCCTGGGAGATGAAACATTGACCACATGACATTTTTCTTTCAACAAGTGCTTCGTCAGTGTTGCTTTGTGTGAAAGACAAAGAATATTTGGAAATATTTGGAATATAAATCTTTCTTCACCTCACCATGTCGGCCGTGTCGAGTGCCCTGACCCCCGAGGCCCCGAGCCCTCCCCAGCTGGAGGAGAAGCCAAAAGGAAAATCCCTGTTCCAGCTGGGCTCCCTCTTTGCCAACAGGAGTGAGAAATTTGTGATTGCTCGCAGTGACAGTTTGCCAGAGGAGAATGTCCTGAAAATCACCATCACCGAGACCACGGTCATCGAGTCCGACCTGGGCATCTGGAGCTCCCACGCCCTCATCTACCTCACCTTGTGGTTTTTCTTCAGCTTTTGCACTCTCTTCCTTAACAAATACATCCTGTCCTTGCTGGAGGGGGAGCCCAGCATGCTTGGTACCCTGCTTTTTTCTGAATTCCAGGGGGAAATTGGTTTATTTAGTGGAATGGGAGCTCCAAAAGCTGCCAGAACTGCCAGAGAATTTGGATAATGCTGGTGGGGTTGTTGGGGTGTCTGTGCATATATACAAAATATTTGTAGTTTTCCAAACCAAAGTTCTGTTCTCGTGTCCTTCCCCTCCCAAGAAATATCCCAGGATAATCTTATTTTTATTTGTTGGTATTGCTGGATGATCCCTTCCAGCTCAGGGTGTTCCATCATCCTGTGATTGATAATTCCAGATCATCCCATATAAAGCTGAGGGAGAGAGTGGTTGAATTGAAGTGAAAACTGCTTGGTTTGGAAGGTGTGGGGAGGGATTTTGGGGCTGGGAACTTGGGATTTTGGCCTTTAAAGTGGTTCCTGACACTGTCCTTTCCTCCTCTTGCTGAAAGATGAAATTTTCCTCATAGAGGGGAAAAAAAAGTAATTTTTTAGTTTTCTGTGCTGGAGGGTTTAACAAAAAGTCAAATTTTGAGTAAATTGTTGATGCTCCCCAGAGCTGTGCAGCACAAGAGTTGCCTTTGGTGATCTCTGTTATCCATGGCCATTTTAGTTCTTTTTTTTTTCTTAAGGAGCAAAAACCAGGCGGTTCATCTGTGAGCCAGGTCTACAAACATTTGGTTTCTTGTGCTGCCTTGCTCAGATGCAGAAGTAAAGGGTTGATGTGAGAATACATAAAACACACACTGCCAAAACCACCACGGACGTGTTCATGTAAGAGATCTTCTCACCACAATTAATTTGTTGTGTTCTGACTTCATTTCCCCTCTCTGATCCAAATGTAGGTGCTGTTCAGATGCTTTCCACCACCTTCATTGGCTGCATCAAGATGTTTGTCCCTTGCTGCCTGTACCAGCACAAGACCAGGATCTCCTACCCCCCCAACTTCATCATGATCATGCTCTTTGTTGGATTAATGAGGTAAAAAGGAAACATTCCCTGCTCCAGCTTTGCTAATATTTGTATTTTTCCATACCAAAGTTCTGTTCTCGTGTCCTTCCCCTCCCAAGAAATGTCCCAGGATAATCTTATTTTTATTTGTTGGTATTGCCAGGATAACCTTATTTTTATTTTCTGTTTTTCCTTTGCCCAGATGTCAATTTTTTGGCCTTCCCATCACATTTACATTTTTTCAGAGCTCACTTCTCTTTCCATTTACTTTTTCCTGCTCTCTTTTGAGGCTGATGTTTGTTTAGTGCATTAATATTTATCAGCCTTTTGCCTCAAAAGTCATGCAGGCTATTAAAATTTATCTTTTGTAAAGTAAATATTTGCTGGGTGCTGGGGTTGTATTAGTTTGTGGTCGAGGAGGGAATAAAAATGCCTGGTTGTGTTTCCTCTGCCCTGCAAAACTGATAAAGAAAATCAAATAAGTGATAAATTCAATTAATTTCAGAGTTTAAACTGTGGTAATTGTGTAGCATATCTAATTTACACTAAAGATGGATAACTGCAGATGCAGTTTCCTTGGTGAATTTCTGTTTCTCAGAAGATTTGCACTTTTCTGACTGAGCCTGTTGAAAACTTTGCCTTAAAAAATGGCCCCTTGAACCTTGGAGTGTGCTAAAAAGTCAGTTTGTTTTCTGGAAATGCACTCTGCAGCCAGAGCCATTCCACATTGCCCAAGGGTGCCTTTATTTGCTTTAAATAAATAATGTTTAAGCCAGAGCTGAAAGAAAGATCTGAGCCTGCAGGTGCAGGAGAAATCACAGAGCAATTCTTTTCATGCTGCGTGTCCCAGAGTGGCTCTTGAATAATTATTTTAATTTCTTTTGGTGCACTCATTCCTTTTTTGTTTTTTTTTTTTACATGAATTTCTTGTGATTTTCTCCTGCTGCAGATTTGCAACAGTGGTCCTGGGGCTGGTGAGCCTGAAGAACGTGGCAGTTTCATTTGCAGAAACTGTGAAAAGCTCTGCCCCAATTTTCACTGTCATCATGTCCCGCATGATTCTGGGGGAGTACACTGGTGAGTCCTGAAATGAGATTGAATTGCTCTTTGTAATTGGCTGTGGTGAGAGTCTGGCCACTAAAATATAATAAAATATAACATCATAATATAATATATAATATAGATATTATAGCATGGCATATATTACCTATTGTATCTATTATCTATTTATTATATATATAATATAGTCATGTCCCAGATGATTCTGGGGGAGTACACTGGTGAGTCCTGAAATGAGATTTAATTGCTCTTTTTAATTGGCTGTGGTGAAAATCTGGCCATTAAAATATAATAAAATATAATAAATGTAACATCATAATATAATATATAATATAGATATTATAGCATAGGATATACTTTACATACTTTATATACTATATATAATATATATATCATACATATAATATATTATATATATTATACATATTATATATATTATATATTACATTTACATATATTTATTCTGTATATAATATAATCATGTCCCATATGATTCTGGGGGAATACACTGGTGAGTCCTGAAATGAGATTTAATGACTCTCTTTTTAATTGGCTGTGGTGAAATTCTGGCCACTAAAATAAAGTAAAATAAATATAACATCTTAATATAATATGGTGTATTATGTATTTTGTATTATACATTATGTATTTTGTGTTATGTATTATGTATTTCATGTATTATGTTATATGTTTTATATTTTCTGTGTTTTATATTTTCTGTGTTTTATATTTCTATATTTTCTACTATATCATATAATACTATATTATATCTAGGTATATATTATATATGCAATATATTTTATATTATATACATAATATTTAATATATATTATATAAAATATAATAAATGCAGCTGGAAGAATCTACAACAAGTAGAATTAAAAGGGTTTGGTAGAAGGAGATTATTGTCATTTTTCTATCAAGAAATTTTTGTGGCATTAAAAAACTGAATTTCAGTGTGTTTTTTTAATTTCTTGCTGTTGAGACTTTGGAATTGTCTCCAATAAAAAATAAACAAACGAGTGGGGCTGCCTTTCCCTGCAGGGCTGCTGGTGAACCTGTCCCTGGTGCCCGTGATGGGGGGGCTGGCTCTGTGCACAGCCACGGAAATCAGCTTCAACATCCTGGGCTTCTCTGCTGCCCTGTCCACCAACATCATGGACTGGTGAGCACAGGGCACCTGGGGGGAACAATTAATGAAATTAATTCATTCAGTTGGGAGATGAAATAGTTTAACGTGATTCATTCTGTACAGTGCACTGAAATGGTGGTATTGGAAATGGATTTTTAATAAATTATTCATTTGCTCGCTCGTCTCTAACAGCGTTATTGAAATGAAATAATAAAATTCATTAGAGCAAACTCCTTTCTGTGCTTGGAGGAAACATTTACCCACCTGAGGATTGGTGAATTCATTGATTTGTCCTAATTAAAATACAGAGAAATGGTGGGTTATAATTTAAAAAAATTAATTTTTGTTAATTTTAAATTTATTTTTCTTCCCTAGTTTGCAAAACGTCTTTTCCAAAAAACTACTCAGTGGAGATAAATACAGATTTTCGTAAGTATTCAAAATATATCAGGTTTGGTTCTGTTTATTTGCATAAAGAAATTAAATATTTATCATTGTATTGCACCAAGGTGCAAATCTGATCACTTCTATCATTTTATCAGGGTAAGAAAACTCCTCTGAGCTCCCACTGCAAGATTCATAATCAACTACAACTCTCAGAAATAAAGATTTGAAAATAAAAATATAAATAAAATAGAAATGTTTATATAAATATCTACATATTTATATAACTATGTTATATATAATTACAGGTATTTCTAAAATATTTATTTAATAGTAATATTAATATATAATAGAAACTTTTTATAAATATATTAAAATATAATATTTATAAATATAAATATTAAGAAATATATATTAAACCATCTTTAGCATTGTTGGGTGTGCAGAAAGCAACTTTTGAACTCTGAAACGTAAACCAAAAGTAAAGTTCTGTACTAAAAACCACCTCTAATAATATATTTGTATTTTATAATGAGATAAAAATTGGTTTTTGTGCCTTTCAGCTTCAGTCCCTGAGAGCAAACCTCTGTCTTTGCTTTGAAAACTAAGTTTTAAATAATTTTAATTTTTTTTTCTCCTTTGTAGAGCCCCAGAGCTTCAGTTCTACACAAGTGCTGCTGCTGTGGTTATGCTCATTCCAGCCTGGATATTTTTCATGGTAGTTTGAATTCATTATTTTAATGAATTTATAGGGATTTTTAAGGATTTTTTTAGGTTTGGTTTTTTTTTTTTTTAGTTGTGAGTAGAATGTGCAACAAAGTTTAATCTTAAATTTTACCTTTTATCCTTCCCATTTAAAAAAAAAAGTTATTTGAAAAATTAATTTTTGATTTTAAAAAATCAGCCTGAAATACAATTTGTCCAATGTTTGCAAGAGATTGGGAAGGTAAAAAATAGAAAATTTTAAAATAAATCATTTAATATGGACATGAGTTAATCCCAAAATCCTGAATTTATCCCAGGATTTTTGAGTTCAAATCATGATTCTGCCTCAGTGCATTTGAGCTTTGAGATAAAAACTTGCAAAGAAAATCTGGAATATTTGTTGATTTTTTTTGTTGCCACTTGTGGTGTACAGGAATATTCACTCTGAAAGCAAATTATTTTGGAGAAAAAATTACAGGATCTCAATTTTCTGTATGTTTTAGGTTTCATTGGGCTAAAATTTAAATATAAAACTCTCTCTGCTCCTAACAGTTGGGTGGAAAATCACTTCTAAATTTTTCTCATGAACTAAACACTTAAATTCCATTTTTGTTTTAGAATGTGCACATTTTTTTTGATAAAAATTGCAGGATTTTAATGTCTTGTATATTTTTGGGCTGAAATTTAAATATAAAACTCTCTCTGCTCTTAAGAGTTGGGTGAAAATAATGTTTAGATTTTTCTCATGAACTAAACACTTAAATTCCATTTTTATTTTAGAATGTGCAAAATTCTTTTGGATAAAAAATGCAGGATCTAAATGTCTTGTATGTTTTTGGGCTAAAATTTCAATATAAAATTCTCTGTGCTCTTAAGAGTTGGGTGAAAAATCACTTCTAGATTTTTCTCATGAACTGAACACATAAATTCTATTTTTATTTTAGAATGCACTTTTTTTAAAATAAAAATTGCAGGATCTGAATATCTTGTATATTTTTGGGCTAAAATTTAAATATAAATTTTATATTTAAATATTTTATATTTTATATTTTAATATTTTATATTTAAATTATATAAATTTTCTCTCTGCTCCTAACAGTTGGGCAAAAATAATTTTTAGATTTTTCTCATGAACTAAACCCTTAAATTCAAATTTTTTTTGGTTTTTTTGACATTTTAGGATGTTCCTGTGATTGGGAAGAGTGGGAGGAGCTTCAGCTACAACCAGGACATTGTGATTCTCCTCCTGATTGATGGAGTCCTGTTCCACCTGCAGAGTGTCACTGCCTATGCCCTGATGGGCAAGATTTCCCCTGTCACCTTCAGGTAAAATTTAAAATTATCAGCAGCTTTATTTTCTGTTTTTTCATCAGGAACATGATTTAATTTTCTCTGATCAGGAGCACTGTTTTGTATTTTTTGATCAGGAAACAATATTTTCTAATTTTTTTTGGTCAGAAACATGATTTTCTATTTTTTTGGTTAAGAACACTATCTTGTATTTTTTGTCAGGAATTTTATTTTCTATTTTTTGGTCAGGAGCATTATTTTATATTCCTTTTCAGGAAGTGAAATTTCAGGTGGTGTTTAAAAAAAAAAAGTGGAAAACTAAAGGTATTTTGCAAAGAAATTGAGGTAAATCATAGGATGGTTGGGGCTGGAAGTGGAATCTGAGGTGGTATTAAAAAAAAAAAAGGAAAATTAAGGTTTTTGCAAAGAGATGAATGAGGGAAATCCCAGAATGGCTGGGGTTGGAAGTGGAATTTCAGATGGTGCTAAAAAGAAGGAAAATTAAGGTTTTTGCAAAGAAATTCATGAGGTAAATCATAGGATGGATGGGGTTGGAAATGGAATTTCAGGTGGTGTTTTTAAAAAAAAATATATAACTAAAGGTGTTTTCCAAAGTTCATGAGGTAAATCACAGGATGGTTGGGGTTGGAAGTGGAATTTGAAGTGGTAATAAGAAAAAGGAAAATCAAGGTTTTTTTGCAAAGAAATTAATGAGGTAAATCATAGGATGGATGGGGTTGGAAGTGGGGTTGGAAATTATTGAAAAGTGCTAAAAAAACTCCAGAAACTAAAGGTATTGTGCAAAGAAATTCATGAGGTAAATCACAGAATGGCTGGGGTTGGAGCTGGAATTTCAGGTGGTGTTAAAAAAAAAGGAAAATTAAGGTTTTTGCAAAGAAATTAATGAGGGAAGTCACAGAATGGTTGGGGTTAGAAGTGGAATTTCAGGTGGTGCTAAGAAAAAGGAAAATTAAAGTTTTAGCAAAGAAATGAATGAGGTAAATCATAGGATGGTTGGGGTCGGCAGTGGAATTTCAGGTGGTGTTCAGGGGCAAGGTTGACGTTAAACCTGGCTGTGGGATGTGGCAGAGCTGCTGTCCCCTCACGTCCCCAGTGTCCCCTCACGCTCCCTGTTGTCCCCTCACGTCCCCAGTGTCCCCTCACGCTCCCAGTGTCCCCAATGTCCCCTCACGTCCCTGCTGTCCCCTCACGCTCCCAGTGTCCCCCTCACATTCCCTGTTGTCCCCTCACGCTCCCAGTGTCCCCCGCTGTCCCCCTCACGTCCCCGCTGTCCCCTCACATGCCCAGTGTCCCCTCACGTCCCCGCTGTCCCCCTCACGTCCCCGCTGTCCCCCTCCCGTCCCCGCTGTCCCCCTCACGTCCCCGCTGTCCCCTCACATGCCCAGTGTCCCCTCACGTCCCCACTGTCCCCTCACATGCCCAGTGTCCCCTCACGTCCCCACTGTCCCCTCACATGCCCAGTGTCCCCTCACGTCCCTCCTGTCCCCTCACGTCCCTCTCGTGTCCCCGCAGCGTTGCCAGCACTGTCAAGCACGCCCTGTCCATCTGGCTCAGCATCATTGTCTTTGGGAACAAGATCACCAGCCTGTCAGCCGTGGGCACTGTGCTGGTCACCGTGGGGGTCCTGCTCTACAACAAGGCCAAGCAGCACCAGCAGGAGACCCTGCACAGCCTGGCCACGGCCCCAGCACAGCCCCCGGGGCCCACCGAGGACACGGAGCCCCTGATCCCCAAGGATCTGCAACCCTATGACTGACTCATGGGGCTCTGCAGCCTGCCAGCGGCTCCAAGGGGCTCCCCCTGGATGGGGCTGTCCTTCAAATCCTCCTGGATGGGGCTGTTCCTCTGGGTCCTCTGACTTCCTCAAATCAGTCTGGATGGGGTTGTTCCTCAGGTTCCTCTGAGTTCCTGAAATCCTCCTGGATGTGGCTTTTCCTCAAATCCTCCTGGATGGGGTTGTTCCTTTGAATTCCTCAAATCCTCCTGGATGGGACTGTTCCTCAGATCCTCCTGGATGGGTCTGTTCCTCAAATCCTCCTGGATGTGGCTGTTCCTCTGAGTTCCTCACATCCTCCTGGATGGGTCTGTTCCTCAAATCCTCCTGGATGTGGCTGTTTCTCTGAGTTCCTCAAATCCTCCTGGCTGTGGTTGTTCCTGTGAGTTCCTCACATCCTCCTGGATGTGGCTGTTCCTTTGAGTTCCTCACATCCTCCTGGCTGTGGCAGGTCCTCACATCCTCCTGGCTGTGGCAGTTCCTCCCATCCTCCTGGCTGTGGCAGTTCCTCACATCCTCCTGGCTGTGGCAGTTCCTCAAATCCTCCTGGCTGTGGTTGTTCCTGTGAGTTCCTCACATCCTCCTGGATGTGGCTGTTCCTTTGAGTTCCTCACATCCTCCTGGCTGTGGCAGTTCCTCACATCCTCCTGGCTGTGGCAGTTCCTCACATCCTCCTGGCTGTGGCAGTTCCTCAAATCCTCCTGGCTGTGGTTGTTCCTCAAATCCTCCTGGCTGTGGTTGTTCCTAAGGTTCCTTTTGAGTTCCTGGCAGGTCTCACCCAGGATTTGAAGCAGGGAGGAGCTGGGAAGGATCCAGGAAAACCTTGGGAAGCTGATGCCCCAAAGAGAGGACCTGGAACGTGGCAAACGTGGGCTCTGTTGTGTTTCCTTGACTCCAAATCACATCCAGGCCTGTGCTGGATGAACTTTGGTGGAAGAACTTTGGTGTCCTGTGGGAAAACAATTCCTGTCTCCGTCCCCATCCAAACAATGTGAAAATGGGGCCCCACCACTGAATTCTGCTGGCAGAGGGATGGAGTTGCTGCCTCCTGGAGGTTTCTGGTTGTTGCTCTGCATTTCCTGCACCCTCCATCATTCCCGTGTGCTGCAGAGATGGAAAAGTCCCAGGAGGGGATTGTCCTTCTACTCCTCAAGCCCCCAAGAGCTCCAGGAGCATTTGGACAGCACAAGAAGGGGTTTTGGGGTGGATTTTGATTTCTGTGCAGGGCAGGAGTTGGACTGGATGGTCCTTGTGGATCCCCTCCCGCTCAGGAGATTCCATCATTCTAAGAAGGGTTGGAATTCCCGCCCTTCCATCCAAAAAAACCCAAATTTCAAGGGTTTGCTTGAAGCAAACTGTGGGGAATGAGCTGTGGTGAGCACCTGCTGCTGGCTACAAATCCAGGATTTGTAGTGGTTCAAAATGTACAAATTTAAGCTGGGAATATTGCATTCTGATCATTTCTGGACAGAACTGAAATGCAAATATTCACCCACGTGAATTACCCTGTGTAAATGGAGTGTTGAATTCAATACTTGTGGTTGTTTAGAGGAAAAAAAAACCACTGAAAATTGTGGTGACAAAGGAAGCAGGATCTCTGTATTTCTGTAAAAAAAACCGATTTTGTTGTTTTAATTTCATTTTATTATGCATGAGGAAAGAAATTGATGGTTTGGTTTTTTTTTATATTATTTCTAAGAGTGCAACAAAAGGCTGCCTTTTAGAAACTCAGGGTTATGAGTCTGACCTGTGTGTAAAATATCTAATTTCTGATTATATAAAGAAATCTCAGAGGCATCTGTGACAGATGGGAGGAATATTAACCATAAACTGAAGCAAATCTTTATTTCTGCTGCTTTTAAGTTTCCTTTTTTTTAAAGGAAATGTGTTTTTTGTGGTAGATCAAAGATTAAAAGTTAACTTTCCTTTTCAAAATTCTGAAAAACAGTCAGTTTTGACAAAAATAAAGCACACATGTAGCTACAAAAACATTCACATGGACTTTTTGGGAACAAAATTTAAATGAAAATGAGTGGATTTTAATAATTGCCACTCTTCTGGAAGGTTGGAGCATGGATATGTAGTGGTCTTTATGGTAAAAATAACAGTTAACAGGAAATTACAATTGGAATTCCTGTAAAATTACATTTCCACACCTCAGTGGCTGCCTGGGGCAGATTCCCCAAAGATCTGAGGGAGAAAAATGCCAATTTTTTCATCCTTGTGTATGTGAGAAGTCTGTGGTATTTTGTTTTCTTTTGTACTCCTGTCACTTTTATAAAAGCTGTGGACTGTGGAGCTCTGTGTTTGGTTTTGTTTTGTTTTTTTTTAATTTGTTTTCTGCCAAATACACTGAGACTTTTGAAAGTATAACTATAAAAAAAAAACCAAAAAAAACAAACAAAACAAAAAGTGTGTTTTGTGTCTCATTTCTGCTTTAGGTGGCTCTGCTCTCACATAAATCCCAACATTTTAAAACCCAGCAGGTTTTTGTTTTCCTGTGACCCTGGGAGGATTTGGGATTGGGATTTTAACCCCTCCTGCTCTGCTGGGCTTTGTCCCTTGGTGTATTTTCCTTTGCCATATTTTTACTTTCCTTCAATTAAACAAACCAAAAACCTTTTTATTCTCCAGTCAGACCAGTAAATCTTATTTTCTCTTGTGTAAACAAGGAGCTTTTTGCTCTTTGTTAAGAATTCTTGAGGCTGTCCCACCCCAGCTCTTCCTGTGACAGAAAATTGATTTTTTTGGGAACATTTTAGAATTTCTGTCCCTGAATTTCTCGTGGCCACACTCAGATCCCCATGACAAGGAGGATCTCTGTAAGCTGGAGCCGTGCATTTTAATTTATTTTACATTTTTAATTCACTCAAAGCGTGTTTTCCTTAAATCTGAATTCCTGATGCTCTGAGCTGCAGGTGGGAGGGGTAACAGCACTCCCTGTGCTTCTAAATTGTCATTATTTCCCATTACACCCCATTATTTCCCACTATATATCATTATTTCCTATTATATTCTCATATTTCCAATGGGGGATGGATAATTAGTGATTTTAGGAATCCTAATTAGGGCTCTTTGCTGTTCTGGGCCGTGTCCCATCCCTGTGTCACCTCTGTCACCTCCTCCCTCACACTCTCACTCATTTCCACGTAGGAATTGCAGCTTTTTGTAGGAATCACATTTATCCACTCCAATTTATTCAATCAAATTTAATTTATTCCATCAAACACTTTGACTGAGGTGGAATTAAAGGCGGCCCTGTGCTGACAACACCTCCATTCGCTAACCCTCTGGGTTTATCGCTACCCAGGCACACCCTCCAGCTTCATTAACGCCCCTCCGCCTGGCCGTTCGGAGAATCTCCCTCAATTAACGCCTCATTAACGCCTAAAATTAATGAGGGGAGCCGTGAGGCGGCGCTGACGCCATCGGCGCGCGGCGGCGGGCGGAAGTGACGCGGGAGGCGCGCGCTGCTGCTGGCCGGGCCCGGTGGCGGTGAGCGGGGCTCTGAGGGGACAGCGGGGCTCTGAGGGGACACCGGGGCTCCGAGGGGACAGCGACACATCCGAGGGACACCGGGAGGCCTCCGCGGGCTCGGGAGGGCAGGCTGAGGGAGGGAGAGAGGGAGGGCGGCCCCGCGGGCGGCGCTCCGTGAGGCAGGCCCGGGCTGCCTCAGGAGAGGCAATTTAAATTATATAAAATTATGTATTCTATACAATTTAAATTATATAAAATTATATATTCTATGTAATTTAAATTACATCGAATTATATATTCTATACAATTTAAATTATATAAAATTATATATTCTATGTAATTTAAATTACATCGAATTATATATTCTATACAATTTAAATTATATATTCTATCTAATTTAAATGATATAGAATTATATATGCTAATTAATTTTATATAAATTAAATTAATTTAAAATAAAATATATAAATATATATAAATAAAGCAATCAACTGGGGCTTGCAGTTCAAGGAACAATTTTTAAAGATTTTATAGAAGAATGGGTAAAAATGGGTTTGGAATCAATTTTGTCTTGCTGTTCTGTTTGGATATTGGTGAGAAAAGATAAATTAATGTAAATAATAATTTAAATTTAGATAATTAATATATAAGTATATGCAATAATTGTTTAAATTTATTAAATAAATTAATTTTAAATAAAAATAGAAATAAATAGAAATAAATAATCAACTGGGGCTTGCAGTTCAAGGAACAACTTTTAAAGATTTTATAGAAGAATGGGTTGAAATCTTAATTTTGGAATCACTTTTACGTTGCTGTTTGATTATTGGTCAGCAAAGATAAATAAACTAATATAATTAATAATTTAAATTTAGATAATTATATATAATTACATACTGTAATGGTATATAATACTATATAATAATAATATATTAATAATAATAAATAATATATTATTATATATTATATATTAATAATATATTTATAGTATATATTATAAATATATTAATAATAATATAAAGAAATATAAATAATAAATAATGTAAATAAAGAAATAATAAATGTGAATATATTATATTTATAATATAAATTATATATTAATAATAATATATTAATAATAATAATATAATAATATATTAAATAATTTAATTTTAAATAAATAGAAATAAACAATGAACTGGAGCTTGCAGTTCCAGGAACAACTTTTAAAGATTTTATAGAAGAATGTGTTGAAATCTTAATTTTGGGATCACTTTTACGTTGCTGTTTGGTTTTGCGCAGCTGTGTGCAAAACAATTATTGCAGAAAATACCACACAGCCATTGCTGCCCTCCTCCTCAGGGTTTAATTGTGCCTGATTATGTCCCATCAATGCACTGCAGCTCCCATGAAGTGCTGCTGCCACAGCTCAGAGGGTGTCCCAGGGCTGACCAGCTGCGCTTTTGGGGCAGCAGCGCAAGCCCTCGGTGCTGTTTGATTGTCTTGGTGCTGGCCAGGCAGTAAAGGGCTGTGCTCTGCTCTGCTCTGCTCCCTCAGTCCGATGACAGGGACTCCAAGAGGGACTCTCTGGAAGAGGGGGAGCTGAGAGACCACCGCATGGAAATCACCATCAGGAACTCGCCCTACAGGAGGGAAGACTCCATGGAAGACAGGTAGGAGTCAGGAGATAAAAAGAGAAAAAAGCTCCTGAAATTAACCTCTCAACATCCTGAGAATTGGGTTTCAAATATCTGAAGGGAAAATCAAATTTTAGATGTGGAAATCCTTTATATAGAACACACCTTTGGAGCACTGGTTAAGATTTAACAGTGTTCCAGTTTTGATTTATTGTGGAAAGTAAAAATAAAATATGAATCTTTTCCAAACAAGGCAATCTGTGAATTTCCCCTGTCACCTCCCTGAGTTTATCCCTGTCCTGCCTTTCAGGGGAGAAGAAGATGATTCCTTGGCTATCAAACCACCCCAGCAAATGTCCCGGAAAGAAAAAACCCACCACAGGAAAGATGAGAAGAGGAAAGAGAAACGCAGGCACAGGAGTCACTCTGCAGAAGGTGCCACTCTGGGAGCTTCTGCTTGCTGGGACTGGAGTAAAGAACAGGCAGAGGAATTCCAGCTGTTGTTGTTTCTCTGGCTGTTCAGTGTCCTTAGGGGAATGCCAGGGGTGTGAGGTGGCTGAGAGGACAGAAATCACTCTGAGATAAGGACACTGAGGTCACTTTTACTCCTTGAAGCCTGATAAGATTCTCTCTGGCTTCACCTCTGATCTTTGTACCTGCCAAGGAAAAAAAATATCCTTTCTAGAGATATTCCTGTTGTCTTCCTGTCAATAACAACCATTTTTTACTTTCATACAAGTATTCATGCAAGATCGTAGAGACTTTGGGCTTTCCAACCCCCTTTCAGAACAGGATTTTCCCTTTAAGAAAACAACAGAGGTCATGGCAACATTTCCCATCAGTTTCACCCCCTGAGTTTTGCTTTCAGTGATTATTTTGAGCAGTAACACTCAGCAATTGATTTGTGTCTGTTCAAGGGAAACATGCCAGAGTGAAAGAGAAAGAACGGGAGCATGAGCGTAGGAAGAGACATAGAGAAGAGCAGGACAAAGCCCGGCGTGAATGGGAGAGACAGAAACGGAGAGAGATGGCAAGGGAGCATTCCAGGAGGGAGAGGTACACCCATACCTGCCTCCTCTGAGCAGTTCTTGTTGTGACATCTCCAAAAAAATCCACTGTAGAAATTGTCTGTGTTCCTGGGAATGTGTTCTTCACTTTCATTGTTTTTAAGTGTTTCATTACCGTGGGTATTCCAGGTGAATTCACTGCCAGTGGTTGGCTGGAATAAAAAGATTGGGTGGTCTTAGAGGTTTTTTTCCAACCTAAAAAAATAAGTACAAACCAGTTTTGCACAGGGGATTAGTTACCTGGATTTTCAGGGGATTAATTAACTGGACTGGCTTAATTTCTGCTTAAATCCTGATAGGGTGGAGAGCTCCTGGTCTGGGTCTTTTAAACCTGTTTTTCAAAGGATCAGCTGAAAAAATCCACCTGATTCTGACTGATGTACAGCTGGGGGTGTCGAGAAGGAAGCTGAGTTCAGTGGTTTGCTGCTGCAATCCAGTTTTCCTTCTCTTCACCAGCTGAATTTGTAACAAACAGAAATTATTTTCCAGAGATCGTCTGGAGCAACTGGAGAGAGAAAGGGAAAGAAAAATCCGGGAGCAGCAGAAGGAGCAGCGGGAGCAAAAGGAGAGAGAGAGGAGAGCTGAGGAGAGGAGGAAGGAGAGGGAAGCCAGGAGAGAAGGTGACCCCCTCTGCATAAACATTCTTCATATTTACTGTCACTTTCCTGCCTGCTGACACAGGGGTGGGATGGAGGGATAGAAAGTGGTTTTTATTAAAGCAACACCAGAATTTAAAAAATATTAGTGGGGAGGGCCTTTGAAATCTGAGGGAAAATGAAATTTAAGTTTTACCTGGGGAGATAAAATAATGTGATGATGTTATGTGCCTTAAATGTCCTGAGAGCTTGGTCAGTCAGTGTTTGCCTCTCCCTGTCAGGGAGATTTCCTATAAAACCAGGATTTCTGGAGGTGCACCCAGCACAACCCCAGCGGTTCTGAACTCTTTGGCTGAGTCTAACTCAGTTTGGTAGAGGTTGAAACCTCAAAATTCCATGTTTTAAGGATTTGGGGGAATAAATTGCAAAGAGGGAGAGGTCATGTAAGTACTGCAGGCATGGAGAATGCTGTACTGGGGGTCAGGTGGGATCGTCTGGTGCCTGAAGTGTTTAAGTTGTGCACCTGAACTCTTTGCACAGCGTGGTGGGTGTTTGCAATCTCAGCTCAGATCCTTCTGGTTCAAGGATCTCTGTCCCAGCTTTCAGAGGTAAAGATCAGA